AAGTCGTAGAGGCAGTCCGGAAGGGAGTTAAAGTAGGGGACACGGAAACGTCGGTTTCAGGGATGCTGTTAACAGATAATTTTGTCGGTATGTCGGACACCCCTGAGGGACTGCAACTGCAAATTGACGCGGCGAAGAAGTTTACTGATAAGTGGAGATTGTCTGCCAACGTTAAGAAGAGTGCCGTCATGGTATGCAACGAGAACAAGGAGGAACCAGTAGAACATAGATGGAAGTGGGGGATCGAGGAGATTGCAGTAGTGGACCAGTACACATACCTTGGAGTAGAGATCGCAAAAGACTGCTCGTGGAATGCACACATGTCCAAGGTAGCGGAAAAGGGCAAAGCACGAGCAGGGAAGCTGCACCCAATACTCGCAAACCGGCACCTCGATACACGCATCAAATTGGCGGTTTTGACGAGCGTAAACGTACCGCCGCTAGAGTACGCCGGAGAACTATGGGAAGGAAAAAAGAAGGTAGTGAAAGAACTCGAGGCGGCGCAGATGAAAGCAGCGAAAACCCCCCCCCCCCCCCCCCGGTGTTTGCCATCGGGATTGAGTTTTTGTCGCTTGGCAATGACGTTGTAAAACAACCCAATTCATCTCGTGAACTCGGCAATCAGGTTACCGTTTTTTTTTACCTCCGTTTTGTTTTTGGAGGTAACCATAATGGTGGTCGAGTAGATCATGTTGTGCGGGGTGGAGAACCCTCACTCCGCGCAAGGGGGATGATCGCACCACGTTGTGTTAGAATGGTCAAGCACCCTCGAGGCAGTTACACAGTGCCTACAACTGTCTCAGGAAGTGAAAGCACCAGAAAATCAATTGAGTCATTCGCAGCTGTCATCCGTACGCAAGGAAGTAAGCACAAGATGCCGAACACCGTTAGCAGGATGCAGCGCACCCTTCATGCGACTCGCGGAATATCTCACGGCGCTTCGCGCTTGGTGATGTGAGAGCCTGGTCCGGTGGGAACCCGGTGTGCTCCGTCCCGGCTTTGTAGGGGTGCGAGGTCAATGGTCTAACGACTACGGCATGCACGACTATGAGTACACCCCCCTCCCTGATGGCTATCGGCGATCGGTTTGGTGGGAGCAATGCTCCGGCCTGTCGAGGACACGTGGTCAATACAACGGCTGAGGCATACAGAGCACAAACACCCCGCCCCCGCCCGGAGTGCCCGCATCTTTCTCTTGCCGCTACGCCGCGTTGCAAGTCAGGGTTCTCTTTTGCACGTGCCCCCGTTGTTGTGGGCGTTCTTGTGTTGTTCGTATTCTAACGCGCTGCAGCTAACCATGCCCGTCACGCCCGCATCCCTCGCACGCCCTTCGCCATGCCTTGTTTTCTCTTTTAATCTGGGGGGGGATTCTCATTCCCCCTACAAAATACCCTCAGACTGACATGGAGAGCAAGTGGTGCAAAGCGCTGGCTAGCGTCCGAAAATACGTCGAGTGCTTCTTTGGCATCTTGAAGGGCCGCTTCAGGATCCTGAAGTTGGGAATCCTTTTCCAGGACAAGAACGTCATCGACAACTTGTTCTTCACGTGCTGCACCTTGCACAACATGCTGCACGCGTTCGACGGGCTGGACGAGCTCGAGAGTGCCGAAGAGTGGGGAGGGAGGGCGGGTCTCCACGACGCTTGGGACAACGACCCTTTGTTGGNATGCACCTTACCCAACATGCTGCACGCGTTCGACGGGCTGGACGAGCTCGAGACTGTCGAAGAGTGGCGAGGGAGGGCGGGTCTCCACCATGCTTGGGACAACGACCCTTTGTTGGACGAGAGTAATGTGGGGTCCCCCAGCCCCACCCCGGCGGACGATGACGGCATCACCACGACCCCGGAAGCAGCCCATGAGGAGTTGAAGAACGCGCTTATGACGCACTTTCAATTCCGTAGATCGAAGAGCGACATTCGGTGGCTCAGACACGCCGCGACTGGCTAAAGTGCGCGTGGCGCTTTTTTTGGTTTGGTGTGCGTGAATTTCTTTTCTTTAACGCGCGTGTTTTCGTTCAGCCTGAGGACTGTATGCCAAACCGGCTTGGTTGTTTCACGCTCGGAGTGGGTTTGCTGGAGGAGCCGTACTGCATGTCCTTAGAATCGTGGCTTTCTTCCTTTGTATTTTAGAGGGCATTCTCAGGGATTCGACTGATTCACTTCATGGAAGGCATCGTTTCATAATATGCCGCCATGAAATCCAAGTACTGGTCGGTGTTCGCCACATTTTTTGCAATGGGGGTTAGGGCTACAAGCAATCCACTAGGACCAGTTTATTTTTGTCTCTCTACACCNTATGCCAAACCGGCTTGGTTGTTTCACGCTCGGAGTGGGTTTGCTGGAGGAGCCGTACTGCATGTCCTTAGAATCGTGGCTTTCTTCCTTTGTATTTTAGAGGGCATTCTCAGGGATTCGACTGATTCACTTCATGGAAGGCATCGTTTCATAATATGCCGCCATGAAATCCAAGTACTGGTCGGTGTTCGCCACATTTTTTGCAATGGGGGTTAGGGCTACAAGCAATCCACTAGGACCAGTTTATTTTTGTCTCTCTACACCCCTGGTTGTGGTTTGTTGTCGCGATTGTTATATTCTTCTGGTGTTCTCCTTGATGGACGCTTGTGTTTACCCTAGTTGGGTAGTTGGCCTATGACCACAAAATGGAAATGTTTCTATGGAAGGTTTTGCATCAGTTTACCGGACTGGGTAGGTTATGCAGGCAGGTTGCAGGTGCTGGTTACAACGTCTTACTTGCAGTGTGTTCTCGGTACGAGGTTGTGTTTTGTCCCCGTCCACCATTTATGTATGTGGTACGCCGTGATCTAGGTGCAGTACGCCGCTCTCCCTGTTTTTTCTTTTACGTTCTATGCTCTTCGCAACCGGATCTTTGTACACCATCTGAGTCACCTGTTGGTCGACAGCTGAGTGAAGTGGGTGCCTAGAACCACCGCAAGTGGCATGGCAGTGGCAACCCCAGCGGTGAATGTAGGAGGAATAGATCAAAATCGTGCACTTTTAATGTTGTCTGGATGAGTGAACGGGTTTGGCACCGCCCACCGAACGAGAATGTTCCTACTTATTCCCCTCCTCCGCCTGATATGTCTGACTGGGACCTTCAATTTTATTATATATGCGTTTAGGTCTATGCAAAGACCTGGGCCGTTTTGGCTTTCTCTTCTGACTATCGAGTGCATTGTGTGTGCCCAGAATCTGGGTAGCTGGTCTGTGACCACGGAAGACATCCGCGTGTTTTGGACCGGATGATGTAAGGTGCCAAGCAGAGATAGGAACGGATGGTGAATATCATGGCGACACTGGGAACGGTATCCACGCTCGCTCCGCTCTCTATTTTTTTATGGCGGTACAGGACTTTCCTCCCGCAGGACGGCATGTTCAATTGTCGCAAATATTGATCCAAGAGCGCCGAGTCGATGGCAGGCAGACCGCGCGAGGTTGCTAAATGTAGAATTCGATTTTCTGTTCACCCTGACACATGGCACTACCACAGTACTCGCCCGCCGTGCAGCTAGTACGGACTCCCTGGTTAAATATAGTGCCCCCGCCGTCAAATAAAGCAGAGGCGGGGAAACGCGACAAGTTGGAGTTCGTTTTCTGTCGGGGGGGATCGACCCCTGATATGCGAGTTCGCCCCGGGGCGTTATTTCTCAAAAACCAACAGCGATCGGTTGACACTGGTGTCGAAGCTGATGCTTGTTGCTTTGTCTAGATTAAGGGGTGGCCGTGCCTACAGCTCAAGTACACATCGGGACTCCTGGCTACAAGCAAAAGTCTGCGGGTGCGCAAAACCTGAACCCCGCCGGTGCCAACAGACTACCGACCAAGCTAGGTTACTGCCAGATCATACCAAAACTTGAAAAAAAACGTACAGGCTAAACAGTCGCAACCCTCTGGTCAGGACAACATCGTGGGTCATGGCGCAAGCAGTCCGCGTGTCCAATACTTTTGGTATGCCTGTAGGTCCCTAGAATAGAACAATCCTTGGAACCTTCCGCCCCGTGCCTTGGATAACGAACGAGAGTACGTGCGCTACCCGGGCCGTTCTGAAAGGATCTTGCGGGGGACGGTTAGCTCCCCCTCCGCCCCCGCTCCCACGGCCGCTTCAAATAGATATGGAAATGTTGCCTGAACTAACAAAAAAATTCAGAACTATTCAGAACTTTGCTCAGTACCTTGTAACATCCGTACCGGTCCAACTGGCGCCCACGCCTTCCGTGCTCACTAGCCAACTACCCAGAAAACGATACAAACTTCTCCAAAATACAAAGCAACAACAACATGGACAGAAAACGGGATACTGCACGAGAAATTGGGGCACACATCCGGAAAAAGAAATAGAAATAGAAAAAGGAAGGCCCCATCCAGACAAAAAAATAGAGTTCATCGGCTCCGCTCGGCACGCGATGCCAAGGAAAACAACCCAACACACAAAATTCAACAAAACCACGAACAAGTCAGGTCTCGCTGACTGTATCCCTACGTGGTTGCAACGCCGAAGCAATGGCCCACACGTTCACACAAAATATAGCTAGACACATTTCGCAAAACAACATATATTGTTGTTGATGTCTTCGTATTAATAACCGTTCCGGTCTCCTCGCAGTACCTTCTAATATCCGTACTGGTCCGACTGACTCGGACGCCGTGGCCACAAACCAACTACTTGTACACCTTTCGAAAATAAAACTGGACAGAAAAAAAATCCTCCAAGGCGCGACTTGTTTTTCTACCCGAACGAAAAGAAGACCAAAATCACCTAAGGAAAAAGGATGAAGGAGCGAACGACGAAGTAAAAAAGACAACGGAGGAGAAACGAAATAGAGAGAAAAGGACAACGGAAACAAAAGGGAAGATAGGCAGGATGTCCCCTCGAACGCCCCAGTCTATCGGAACTACAACGCTAAAAATGGAATTTTTATGCGTAGAAATCGATATACCATCGCACAGTTGACCATCCTCCTCGATCAAGGCTGGTGTGGAGCTTGGCCTCCATAAATGATGAAAAAACTCGCAGCCGCCCTGAGCGCAAAAAGAAAAGTTCAACGCACACTGCACCCGAAATATGGGCCCTCTTCCTCCGCAGGGAGAGCGCTCAGTCTGGCCTTTTACTTTTGTATTTTTCTGGGCCGTCGTACAACACTTGATTTTCAACTTCTCGGAAACTACCCGGAAAAAACAGGATTCGCCCCCCCCGCCGCCCCCGCCCCCCCCCCCGCCGCCGCCAGCGCCGCCGCCGCCCTCGCCGTGTCCGCCTCCGCGGTGATTGGCATATCGAGCTGGGGGAGAGGTGTGGCGTACAGCGCTAGGAGCTTCTCCCGGGTCTCTTTGACTTGGCCTTCATTGCCCATCTCCTTGTACAACGCAATCTGCTCGTGGAGAGTCGTCACCTCCAGAGTCCGATCTTCTTGGATGGACTTCTTTGCTAGCCGGATATCTTTCTTGCGATTCGTCTTCTTCATCTCTCGGACGAAATCTATGATAACGCGATCGGCCTCTGATTCAACGGGGTTCTTCAGTAACCCGAGCAGTTCAGCATTGAATTCCTTCGTCTCCTGGGCAGCCTTCTCCCGCTTAACCCGCTTCCTATCTTCTTTCTGATCCTTCTTCCTTTCCGTCCTGCTAGCCGGAATCCCTGCCCCTGTCGCACCCTGCTTCTTTAGGTCCCTGATGGAGGCAGGTGACTTCCGGTTTGGCCGTGGCGATTTCCCGGACCCTCCCCCCTCCTCGCTCTCGGAGGTCTCACCGGGCTCCCCGTCGGGCCCGGATCCGCTTTCCAAGGACAAGCAGTGGTACTCGTGCTGCTTCCCGGCCGGCCTACCTGGCAAAGCAAATATGAGGCTGTACTTGTGTACATAGTTCGCCGGCATCGCTACTGGCACCTCAATCGAGTCCGGCGTCGCAGCAGCCGCCGCCGCCGTCGTCGTGCCCGGCGTCGCAGCTGCCGCCGCCACCGCCGCCGCCGTCGTGCCCGGCGTGCCCGGCGTGCCCGGCGTCGTAGCTGCCGCCGCTGCCACCACCGCCGCTGCCGCTGCC